TAAGTTCTGGGTTACTAAGAAAAGCAGTGTTGGCACTCCTGCTGTGCTTACCGTGCAGAACTGCTACAAAGAACAAAGCAGACTCTCAGTTCAGAAAATTCTCATGCAAATAAAGGAACTTACAATCTACAAACTTTTGGAAGGCAGACAATAGGTCACATTTAGCACCCAGTGACTATGTTTATCTGCACACAGACACAGTCAATACATAATTTTAATTGCCTTCGCTGGCCAGAATTCCTGCTGTAATCCAAATTTAGACAATTAATCTTTTTAATACACTACAAAACAGTTTGTGTGACTATTAGTTCTAATAATTCACATGATGACTTATTAGTGCTGAAAACTATTGATTAAAGTTTTCTGACTCAGAGTAATTTACATGGTAATGTGCCCATTTTGATCTGGTAGAGGTGCATATATGCAAATAATTTTTGTCTCCTAGAAAAGATACCTACAAAGGTTATCTATCCTTTACTCTGGTGTGGATATTAACTAGTTTTGTACTTAACTTAGAATTTTTATTCTAATATCCTTTAATTAATTGCTTATATATGCCTGGTTCCTCAAATGTTCTTTAAACAAGTCTTGACATCTTACTGGTTCTTTCATTAAGTAATGGGCTCCATAAAAGCTTTGACATGTGTTCCTTTTATGTTTGCATCAGAATCATAATTTTATCCTTTTGCAAATTATACATAATATCAGCCTGTCATTTCCTAGCCAAACTAAGTTCTTAGCAGCTTTCCTCAACTGGTTTTACTAATATTCTTAAGTTTTTATCAGCGGTATGTTGAAGTTTAAATTGGGCATGTCTTTTATCACTGCCCTGCTTTTGTGATAAAAGACAGACATTGCAATCCACTTTTACAACAACATTTTCTAAATATATAAGTAAGGCAGGGGTGGGTGGGTGGGTAGGGAGAGGTTAACCAGGGAATTTATATGCACATACTTTATCGATTTTTAGAGAGAGAGAGGAAGGGAGAAGGAGAAGGAGAGAAAGAAGAAGGGAAAGGGAGAGAGAGGAAGGGGTGGGGGAGGGAAAGAGAGAGAGAAATTAATTTTTTGTTCCGCTTATTAATCATTCAATGGTTGCTTCTTGTATGTGCCCTGACTGAAAATCAAACCCACAATCTTGGCATATCAGGATGATGCTCTAAAACCCACCAAGCTACCAGGCCAAAGCCATAGTCTTTATTTTAATTTCACTTATTTCACTGAATATTATTTTTAAATATCAAATAATTTATTTTATTGGGATTTCTCAACTATAATTCTTGAATCTCTTATTTTTGTTTTCTTTTAATTTTTAAGATTTTCTACCCGTTAAAATTAAATTTACTCTTTCTTCAAAATAAAATATAAATATGTAAATATGTAAAGTTTATAAATGTATCATAAAATCTGTACCTGTGAACATATGTAATTCTCCCGTAGGTTGGTTTCTTCCTTCCTTCCTTTATTCATTCATTCATTCACACTTCAACACTGGAAAGAAGTAGGGCTGCGGTGCTGGCCTGGGAGGTAACGGAGATGGGGTATTATGATGGTTAATTTTACTGTCAAGTTGTCTGGGGGTAGCCACAGGGAGCACATTATTTGGTCAAATTTTATTCTGGATGTTTCTACAGGGTGTGTTGGGGAGTGAGGGTAACATCTGAATTGGTGGCTTTGGAGTAAAGCAGACTGTTCTCCATAGGTGGATGGGCCCTATCACATCAGTGGAAAGCCTGAGTCAGAACCTTCCCAGAGCAGAGCAGGAAGGAGCCTGTGGGCAGGCTTCCCTGGGCCTCCGCCTGCAGGGCCTCCGCCTGCAGGCCCACCTTGCAGATTTTGTACTTACGAAGCTCCAACATCAGATGGGCCAATCAATTCCCTAACACCCCTTCCATCCCCGGGGGAAGCCACTTGGGTTTCAGATTAAGTCACTGAGTAGGGGAGACATTTCTCTAGAGAACCCCACTCACATAGGCGTGGAGGCTCCCCTCCCCTTCTCCCCGGGGATAATCCTCCAGCTCCTCCAGACTCTTCCAGTCCACGCCAGCCCCGATTCAGAAAAACCTCTCACCTTGGAGGCCTGGGTGGATGCACAGCCCAATCACCATCAGTGTTGGAGCAACTCCACCCTCGGCCTCGGCCTCGCACCGCTGGGGGCTCCATCCAGCCTTCCACCTGCCCCTTGGCCTCTGCTTGAGGGAGGGCGGCGAGGACACCCTCCTGCACCATCACAGGCACGCATGCGCACACAGAGCTGCCGGGAGAGCCTGACACCCATTGGTGAGTAATAGCCCCGCCCCCAGGCCTGGGCGGGGAAACCCGATGCACGTGATTTACCAGGTTCACCTGCGTGTCTGGGCGAGATTAGATGTTGTTTTCACCAGGTGGAACTTCCTTGGATTTCCCAAACCCAGCGTAGGCAAACTGCGGCTCGCGAGCCACATGCAGGCGACTCTTTGGCCCCTTGAGGGTGGCTCTTCCACAAAATAACCACGGCCTGGGCGAGTCTATTTTTGAAGAAGTGGTGTTAGAAGAAGTTTAAGTTTAAACAATTTGGCTCTCCCAAGAAATTTCCATCGTTGTACTGTTGTTATTTGGTTCTGTTGACTAATGAGTTTGCCGTCCACTGTCCCAAACAAATGCCTTCCGCTCAAAGCCTGGTCTTGAGGTCCGCCGCCAAAATGAAGACCTGCCCCAACACGCCCACATCACAGCCGTTCATTCACCAAACAAAATCGGGGTTGAGGGGAACAGTCCACTGAGGGATGGACACCAAGTTGTGCGCCGCTTTTCCCACCCCACTGCCAATCTGATTTTTCCAGGATGATGGATACAACTTTCCCTTGGGGTTTCATGCATGTCATATTGTTTATTTGGAAGGCGTTTGGTTCTGGCTACTATAGAATTGATCTCTGGGTTAGGTTAGGCTGGACTGCAGAGTGGTGTTTCTACACTTGCAGCTTTGGGTGCTTACTATAGAAATATACACACACACACACACACACACACACACACATATATATATATATATATATAATTGATTTCAGAGAGGAAGGGAGAGGGTGAGTTAGAAACATGATGAGAGAGAATCGTGGATGGGCTGCCTCTGGGGATCAAGCCCACAGCCTGCACCTGTGTCCTGGCTGGCAATCTAACCATGACCTCCTGGTTTGTAGGTCGTGGCTTAACCACACCAGCCTCTCCGGAACTTTTACTGAGTGGCCCTTGGATTGTGCTACTGCCCTACAGGAAAGATCACAGTAAAAAAACGGACCACCCAAATCATCCTTGAAGTGTCCGTAACTGCATGATGCAACCTCAGACCCCACGGAATAAAACTAATGAGGGATGGGAGGAAATGCTGGAACAACTTTCCCCTCAGGGACATCCTGAATCAAGTTGCATACCAGCCTTGTGCCCACAGTGGCCTCAAGAAAGCAGAGGAACCCTGACAGCATGCATAGTGAACACTACCCTCACCCGTGGCTTTGACTTTCCTATTTTGATATTTTCCTTTCCCTCATGCACCTAGCACCCTTTTAACATATTGATTTCAGAGAGGAAGGGAAATGGATAGAAAAATGGATGATGAGAATCATCGATCAGGTGCCTCCTGCATGCTCCCACCAGGGATCCAGCCTGAAATCCGGGTATGTACCCTGACCAGGAACGTACTCGACCTCTTGGTTCATGGGGGTCGAGGCTCAACCACTGGGCACACCAGCCGGGCGCATCTATTTTTTTTCTTTTTCTTAATTCTACTCCACATAAATTTTAGGCAGCCTTCAATCCTTCTCAGAATAAAGCAGACTATGAATTAGAAAGGAGTGGGGCAGGCATAGGCTGTCCATCGGGCACACTAGAGGATATTCTGGAACACGGGTCCTGCCTGTCTGCTCCACTGCAGGCATCGAAAAAAGTGCTGGAGCCAGATGACAGCCGGGATCCTTCCTACTGAAGCCTCCCCCTCTCTTCCTGTCCCTGGGTTTGCAAAAGGGCTCTTTCCTGTAATTAAAGGGCATAAACGAATTAAATCACCATGTATCTACTGTATATATATATATATATTTTTCTATCAAGAGATGGCTTTTATTTACTAAGTAAGCAGAGTTGAGTCAGGGCCCGCAGGACTGCTCAGAAATGTGAGGTACTGCACTAAGTGGTTTATGAATCATAGCACCCGTATGGATAGAGACACCACTAAGACTGTATCTCTCACTCAGTTATGAGTAAGCCAAATTTCTAACTCAACTAAATCGCCAGCTGAACACCTTGGTGCCCGCTAATATGACTAAGGACCCTTAATGGAACTGAGACTCTTTTCCTTTCCCAAATTCGTGTACTTTGGATCCATGCAAGCCTAAATTCCTAGGCCATCTTGCTTAAATTCTAAACACACAAGATTTTAGCCTTTAAAGAGTGACTGTAGGAGTATAAACCAAGGCAACTTTTCTAGGAAGCAATTGGCAATAAAAAGAAGAACCTGAAACATGTTGCTACGTTTTTCTTTAGTATTCCACTTCTGAGAACCTACCTGCAGAAAGGGACTGAAATGCTCATCTCTGATGTACAAAAATGGATTATATACAAAGGGATATAGTTCACATAAAAGAGGCAAAAACTGGAAACAATCCAAACAGCCAACCATAGCAAAACTGTGTACTTGGGAAGCAGTCACACAATGTATTACTTTAGTTATTAGCAATGATGTTTGCATGAATTTTAACTACCTGAGAGAAATGTTCGTGACAGAATGTTTAATAGAAAAGAACTGCAAACACAATTACAACACAAATACACACACAGACATCCACAAATATACAATTGGAAGAAATGAACCAAAATTATCTGATGGATGGGATTATGGGTAATTTTTATTTTGTTTTTATATGTCTCCATTTTCCAGTGTTCAGCAATGGGCAGGTGCTCACTTTTATGGTCATTAAAGTTGCATTTAACAAAACAGGAATTAGTGCAGAAATCCACCATAAAGCCAGTTATTGATTGCAATGTCCTCCTTTTTATTAAATTATAAAACTGTTGTCAATACACTTTTGGGGGGAAAATGTATTTGTCTCAAGTATGTGCTTTTGTGGAGCACAAATAAAACATTCCTATACCATTTTCTTGGTCTTCAAGCCACTTAGCACTGGTAGCCAAACAACCAAAAATAAGCTATTATATACAGTCCGAATTTATGGAAAATACTAAAAAAGACAGATGACTCAAAAAGAGGGCTCAGTGCAGGGAAAACCACAGCTCTTAAACTGGCATAAAAATTTAGTCACCACGTTTTAGTCCTTTATGGCTTTGCATAAAGCTTCAAAGGAAGAACATTTAAGACACGTCTCATCAAAGGCACTTAGCGTTGTAATAAAATACTTCTTTGAATTTAGTTGGAGTCCGACAGTATTTTTATTCCTTTTTTTTTTTTTCACATTCTGTCTCAGACTGAAATAGTCCTTGAATATAGCTATTAATGAAAAATAGTTATCGCTTCTTAATATACATGTTAAAAATACACAAACACAATTAATACAGATTTTGGTCCACTGAAGCAGGGAACGGCATCAAACGTAAGTTTCTCCCTTAATTCTGAGCAAAAGCCACAAACTCCCCCAGACCCAGTCCCACAGATAGAGCCTTCACAGTTCTGAACCTGTGTGGGTTGTCCCCTGGGCTCCCCACGAGGAAGTGGGAGCTCGGGTCCTCCCCGCATCTCCACGGAGCATTTTAGCAGGACAGAACCATCCACGGCTCTGCAGGAGTGCTGCTCTGAGGTGGTGACGTCAGGGTAGAGCAGAGCCAATTCGCAGACATCTATAATTCGGTGTCCCGGTATCGGGAGGGCTGGCCGTAGTAACCCCGCTTTGAGTGTTCTGACAGCTGCTGGCGGTATTCCTCCTCCTCCACATCGCTGCCGTAGCTTCCTCTGGCATCCTGGTAGAGTGCGGAGGGACTCTTCTGGGGTACCAGGGGTCTGTAAAAACGGTGGGAGGGTCAGAGGCACAGCAGGCAGTCACCCAAGGTAGATTGCTTACCTCGGAGCCACACTCTGTAGGGAGGGACAAACCAGGAGCCCTCCTGGCCCCGCTGCAGGTTCCCGGAGTGGGGATGGGAGTAACAGGTCAAGGCGATGCCCACCTGGGTAGGGAGGGAGGAAGCCATCCAGGTGTTCCTTGGCCTAATAATTCTCAGCTGGACCAGGGGGCGCCTTCCCCATCCCTAAGTTTATAGGCCTCAAGCGCCACTGTTGGATTGGTAAAGAAATTTGCCCCTACTTTTCTGCTGCTGTAAATCTAGACTCTAGCTTCTTGTCAGAATTGCCACAAGAAGTTATATATATGTATGTGTGTGTGAGAGAGAGACACACACACACACACACATATTTGGCCAATTTTCGGAAGCAGGAAATGATCCAGTGTAAAACCTCCATGGGAAGACACTGTGGCAGGGGTCTTCAAACTACGGCCCGCGGGCCACATGCGGCCCGCAGAGGAGTCTGATCCGGCCCGCCAGGTTTTTTGGGCAGTGAGCGCAGCCAAGGTGTTACAGTAGGAATTAGTAGTTCATATAGTCCGGCCCTCCAGCTCTCTGAGAGACCGTGATCTGGCCCCCACTTTAAAAAGTTTGAGGATGCCTGCACTGTGGTAATTCCTAGTGTTTATGCAGCAACTTTTAAATGCAGCATCTTACCCACAGCCAATTGATTGTCACCTTCTCTTCAGACCACAGTTCAGCTAGGGCAGTGGTCGATAAACTCATTAGTCAACAGAGTCTATACGATAGAAATTTCTTTTGAGAACCAAAGTTTTTAAACTTAAACTTCTTCTAACACCACTTCTTTAAAACAGACTCACTCAGGCCATGGTATTTTGTGGAAGAGCCACACTCAAGAGGCTAAAGAGCTGAATGTGGCTCTCGAGCCACAGTTTGCCGACCACGGAGCTAGGTGATGCAAAGGAATTAAGGGGAACTTGGCTAACAGCCAGAAAACAGTAGCAACAAAACAAAGTGGGCCCCAGGAATTTTGCTCATGGGCTATCCTGACACAATTTAACGTATCTGTGCTCCAACATGTGAAGGGAAACTGACTTAAAAGTTTTAGCACACACGAAACATTGCCATGAATAACTGACGCTGTAATCTGTACAATTAAATTTATCTAAATAAATCGGGCAAATTGCTGACCAGGAGGGAAAACGTCTTCCAGGTACTCTGAAATGCAGGTGAAGAAAATTCTTCCCCAGGAGGCCAAATCCCAGGGAAGCCCCTTGGCAGACCTACACCTGCTGAGCAGCCCTTACCTCGTGAACTGGGGCGAGCCAGGCTCCGGCTTGTGGGTTTTGATCGGAACTGCATAAATATCAGGATGCTTCTGCGCAATTTCAATCTGTGGTAATTAAGAAAATAAAAATAAAAAAGAGGGAAAGGATGAATCACTACACAATCAGCTTGCTAATTTCTTGCTGGTCCCATTTTCCAATCCCACTTTAAGGAGAAGAGAAAAAACAGAAGGAGCTTTAGTTTCCATGCTTTTGTACGATGCCTAGTGGTACAAATAGGCAAAACGTTCTAGGCCATGAAATTCTACCACGTGCTACCTCATGAATGAACCTTGAGGACATTGTACTAAGTGAAAGAAGCCAGTTACAAAAGATTGATTATATGATTCCACATACATGAAGTTGCCAGTGTAGTCACAATGACAGGGGGAGAAATAGAACGAACAATGGGGGGGGGTGTATGAAATGGGAAGTAACTGTTTAATAATTTAATATGTACAGAGTTTCAGTTATGAAGGATGAAAATGTTCTGGAGATGAAGAGTGGAGATAGTTACACACACAAGACCGTGAATGTACTTAACTGGCAATGAACACTTAAAAGTGATTCAAATGGTAAATATTATGTTATACAATTTATTTATTTTTAAAGAATAGTTTATTAATTTTTTAAAAAGAGAGAGGAAGCTGAAACTGGTTTGGCTCAGTCAGTGGATAGAGCGTCGGCCTGCGGACTGAAGAATCCTGGGTTCGATTCTGGTCAAGGGCATGTACCTTGGTTGCGGGCACATCCCCAGTAGGGGGTGTGCAAGAGGCAGCTTATCAATGTTTCTAGCTATCTCTCCCTCTCTCCTCCTCTCTGTAAAAATGCAATAAAATATATTGAGAGAGAGAGAGAGAGAGAGAGAGAGAGAGAGAGAGAGAGAGAGAGAGAGAGAGAGAGAGAGAGAGAGGAAAGGAGGAGAGAAACTTCAATGTGAAAAACATCAACTCGCAGCTTCCCCATTCCCCCCCACACACACACCAGGGATGGGGCCCAAAACAGGGGCATGCGCCCCAACCTCAAATCGAACCAGGACGCCGCCCAACCAACAGAGCCTCCCTGGCCAGGGCTTTGTTATGTGTGCCTTTTATCACAATAAAAGAAAAATGCTAAGAAACCCCGCTTTTGTGGCAGACTTAAATGACGAACACGCTCCTATCCACTGGGCTGAACATGCCCCTCACACTTTTCCCTAAACTCTTCTTTAACTTTTGAAAGGTTATGTTTGCACATGGCACAAAAATACAAACAGTATCACAAAGCACCATCTGTGGGCCTATCAAACAGTTACTTCCCATTTCATACACATCTCCCTCCCCCCGTGGGGGTATTCCACCCCCCCCCAACCCCCCTATGATTTTGTCTACATTGGCAACTTCATGTAAGTGGAATCATATAATCCACCTTTTGTGACTGGCTTCTTTCATTTAGTATAATGTCCTCAAGGTTCATTCATGTTGTAGCACATGGTAAAATTCCATTGCCTAAGTTTCATTGTCACCGGCATTCACTAGGTTTCTAAGGCAAATCTAGGAGCAAATGGAAGCTCAGGTACCAAACAAACGTAACAAATGTTTTAACAAAAAAAAAAATAACTTCTGGGAGGCACTGCTTTTCTTGTCTCACTTTCACTCTTCAGAGCTCAGCATAAAGCTCTGAAATACAAAAAGTAGAATCTTATTCCCCTACACCAGTGGTCGGCAAACTGCGGCTCTCGAGCCACACGCGGCTCTTTGGCCCCTTGAGTATGGCTCTTCCACAAAATACCACTTCCTGGGCGAGTCTATTTTGAAGAAGTGGCGTTAGAAGAAGTTTAAGCTTAAAAAATTTGGCTCTCCAAAGAAATTTCCATCGTTGTACTGCTGATATTTGGCTCTGGTGACTAATGAGTTTGCCGACCACTGACCTACCCCATTAGGTTTTCTTGATTAGAAGGAAAAGGCATGCACCAAGAGCTGACAATTTGGAGACGACACACACTGAGGACGTGCCTTTAGTACCAGGCATGCAAATATCCCCTTTATGTGTGTGCCGTGGAAAAAGGACTGAAGCGTTTTACTGAAATGAAATTTACTTGAAATTCCTATTGTTGGCATGCTGAAGTAACCCAGTGGTTCGAAACAATTACCCTTGCGTTCTGTGCTTCCTGGAGCTCTTGCATTCTCTGGAGTCTCGCCTTGTGATCCATCTTCTCAAATATTTTTACTTTGCCCAGGACAGACTTGGGAGCGTTATCTTGCTCCTCGCTGCCCTCCCCTGCCTCCTCGCTCTCGGGGGGAAGGACTGGAATGGAGGGCTTCAAGATAGGCTTGCAGACGGCAGGCTTTGCTGCAATAGGAGGAGGAGGACCCTTGGCAGATGCCCCGGGAATTTCGTTACCGGCCACAGCTGGAGGGGAGCTTGGCCTGTATTCATAGGCCCTGGAGTAGTCAAAGGAGTCTTCTCTCTTCTGGGCCCTGGCCTGCGGAGAGCAATGGCATATTTTCACCTCAGGCTTTCGTTTTAGTGTCACATCGATATTAGTGATTTAATACACTCCATTTCCTGATCAGTTTCCATAGGTGGTCAACAAAGAATCAAATAGGGGAGGGCCAACAGCCACTGGCCGGGCATCCTGATCCCTTCCTCGCTTCCTACAGAAGAGCACTCAGAGTTCTGCAAACCAGGAGGATGCTGGGAAGTGCCAGGAGCCCTGCATGTGCGAGGGGTAGATCAGACTGAATGTCACTTAAGGGAAGATTAGCATTTTGGAAGAGACCTCAGAACCAGTCAGACTTCAGGACCCAAGAGTGGATTCTTGAGTCCAGGCCCTGGCTCGGAGGTGAGGCCAGAAATGAGATTGGTGCTGTAGGGAGTGGGGAAGACATATTATGTTTGCGGCCACTTTCCCTGGATGCTTGGATCCTAGGCCTGCTTGTAAGTGTTCGTTGATATATTTTATGAGGCCATTAATTACCTCTGATAGCTCACAGGACCATTTATTACTTTCTTCTCATCTAAACTATTGAGTGAGATCGACACACGTCATTGGGTTAAAAGGAAAAACCTATAGTCATAGCTTTGATTCAGAAAGGGATAAAGAATCATATGACATACACCCAAGGGGTTCTTATGTTGATTTTTTTTTCCCCTGGATGATGTCTTACTTAAAAAATAAATTAAGCTGCCCTCATAATTAGAGGCATTGTTTACAATGGTGGTGGTGGTTTTCTTTAGCCAATCACCAGTAAGGATTTTAACGGTGAATCTGAGTCAGATTGTGGGCAGAAAACTCTAATTGGACAGAAAAACAGTCTGAGTTTGGTGATTCTGGGCAGGCAGGATTTGTCAAACCTTTCTCTTTCTCCATCAATTAAATAATTTTAAAATGCTATTTTAAAATTGTCCATGCTCCTAAGACTTTCTTTCCCTCCTTCCTATCTTTCCTCCCCTCCCTAATTTTGGGGCCCAAAGGCAGGTTCTAAGAGAGACACAGTGAGTTACAAACACAATTCAACACCATCTTATTGTGTGTGCTCTTCCCTGGCTGGGAGCTCCAGGGCTGTCTGCCTCCGCTTCCTTCCCATCCTGGGCTTCCCAGACACATACCTTGGGCGGCTCTGGTTTGAATGCCGGGGGTGGACTATTGTCCCTAAGTTGATCTCTGCTAGCAGCCCTCCTCGTCTGAGCTCGTGGCTCTGGGCTGGGCTTCCTTATGCTCTACGAGACACAAAGGTTCATTCACAACAAGAACATCGCAGCAGAGAGAAAAGAGTTCTCGTCTGCTCTGCTGGAGTCCCAAGCACTTGTGTGAGTTCAGAATTTTGAGATTCACACCTTCCACAAAAATCTCTCACTGGCATACGTTGAGGCACTGACTCGGTGCTTCTGTACTGAAAAAGGCAGAAACCATGCCAAAACCGGTTTGGCTCAATGGATACAGCGTCAGCCTGTGGACTGAAGGGTCCTGGGTTCGATTCCGGTCAAGGTCATGTACCTTGGTTGCGGGCACATCTCCCAGTGTGGGGTGTACAAGAGGCAGCTGATCGATGATTCTCTCTCATCAATGTTTCTAACTCTCTATCCCTCTCTCTTCCTCTCTGTAAAAAATCAATAAAATATATTTAAAAATAAAAATAAAAAATGAAAAGGAGAAACCAGGCATGTTCCCATGAGCAAATGGTTAAGATAAGTTTTTCTAATGAGATGCATCCAGAGTAGGAGTCTCCCCTTTATAGTACAAAAGAGTCTAAAATCTCTTTTGTCCCTTAAAGCTTTTAGCATTTTTAAGCATTCGCTATCTGTATCTATAGAGGGAGTTAGTTTATTCTTTACAACTGGTCCAGTGTTATATAATAATTTTTTTTTTTGTCATGGTGGGTTTTATCCCTCTATCCTTCACCTTAATTTTTGGTACTTCTATTTCACGAAGAATAAAATCATTCCCTGAAATGAGTAAAGTTGCTAATTGGCAGTCCATAGCCTTCTTTATCCAAAAATATGGATAATCTCCATCTCCAAAGTCATTATCCCAATGTTCTCCGAGGTACAGCTAATAACTGCTCTGGTCCTAACTCAGTGCCTGAGGATGTGACTTCTAGGATCACTGAAGCCGTCTCTTCACTGGCCGGTGGATGCACAGTACACGTGACCGTGTGTTTTGACCGTGAATTCAATTCAAAAATTGAAATACAGGAGAAGGAAACTGATGGGGAAACACTCAGGAGCTTTGGCAAGATCAGAGAGGTTAAAGGGAGGACGGAGAAGAAAAAGCAGGGATACGTACCTAAGAGTACAGAGAGGCCTAATCAAAGGTTACAAGCAAATACAACAATATTGTCTTTTAAAAATAATGTTCCACCTGCAATTTGGACAGCCGGCCCACAAAGCATCTCAGTGTGTCCATCACGTCCAAGGCCCCTTAGTTCCTCCTGTCCTGCTTCCCCATGGACCCTATTCACAAGCACGCAGGCATGGCCTGGGAAGGAGAGCCTCCCTACGCATCATCTGTTTCAACCCTTTGGAACGCCTTCCACGGCACCCTGAACCAACGATTGTCCAGAAGCGTTCCAGTGAGACACCAGAACCTCCAGGTCCTGCCCGTGGCCTCGCGGCCCGGGGCCTGCCTCGCTGCCTCACCTCCTCGTGCTGCACCGGCTCCGAGGAGCGGGTGATGGAAGACACCGGCGGCTCCTCGGCCGGCTCATCCAGCTCATTGTCAGTGTAGGCGCCTCCTTCGCCGTCGGTGTCTTCAAAGTCACTGATGAGGCGGCTGTCGCAACTCAGATAGTCCGCGCCCATGGCGGTTAAGTAGGACATGCGGTCTTCAGCGTCATCGTCCAGCCCTTCCATCTAGAGGAATTCGTTTTGGAGGGTCAGTGGGTGTGACATGGCTCCTGGGAGCGGGGTCTCAAGAAAACGCCCGAGGGCACGGCCAAGTGAAGTCAACTCTACTTTCCTGAGATCACTTGGCTGGAAATGACTGGGTTCGAGTTTGGGCAGGGACTCAACTTAAGAACCCTCCACCCTATCTGTCTTTGCCACCAGCCATCTTATACAGCGCTACTGAGTCATGCCTCCTCAAACCGCGGGGCTTGGTCTTCCAGAACCGGGCTTCTCTTCAGCTTCTTCGGCTGGCACTGGTCTCCTAGCGATACATGCCTGATGCTGCACACCTCTTCGCGCAGCCACAAGGTTATCAAGTCCTTGAGGGCAGAACCTCTGACCTGCTCAACTTGTTGTCTTAGAGCCTTAGTGGGCTGTGCGCACTCAGGAGATGCTAGACACCCTGACTGAACGTGCAGCTCCCGAAACGCAAGACTAGGGCTCAACCATCTCATGGGTAATGGACTCATTTCCACAAGGAAACTGTCCCTCTCGGCTACCTCAATCCAGCTGGATAACATAAGACTATCCCCAGAGGCTCCTGAAACCACAGACAATTCTATACTCTCTCTCTCTCTCTGCATCCTCCCTGCACAGAGCTGTGATCAACATCGTCCGCAGGGGAGAAGCTAGCCACTTTCAGAAGCCTGCCCAAGTTTCCTAATGCTCTCTTCTCACCCACTCAAATGCTGAGGGCCCGTTCTCTGCCAATCTTGAAGCAAATGGTCCCACCTCCATTTGCTTTTCCTCTTTCCATTAATTTTTAAGCACCTCTCAACTTTGTCTCTCACCTCCACGCTGAGCTTCCCCCATTCTTAGTAAGCTGTGAAGCTCAGCTCGAGATCTTGTAAGCTCTGATTAGTGTGCTTGGAATACAATACTAGTTACTACGTTAAAAGGAAAAGGGGAGTGAATGTAGGGTTGCACGTATCGCGTTCTGCTTTTCTTCTAAAAGCCCCTTCGCTTTATTGCTTTTTAGGAGAATTTATAAAATTGCAAGCTTGATTCGCACATAGGTTGGCATCCTTTCAAATGGGCATGGCTTTACTACATTCACTACCCTCTGGAGAAAAGGTTCAAAACACGGACTCTCACCTCGCAGCAGAGTATCTATGCCACATACCTTTCCTTCAGAGACCCAAACTGCTTCTCCTTGCTGATGCTGAATTGTGTCCTTCAAGCTGCCAAACCAGCTATCATTGGCTGCATTTAGGTCGATGGTTGCTATAGAGATGTACGCAAAAAAGGTTTGCATCAATTTCCAAAGCAATGTTTACTCAAAAATTTATCTGGCATCATTCATACTCATTTCTGTCATATCTGAACTAAAACGTTGGCAAACGCAAGAGAACGTTTGCACATATTTGAATGTTAAATCCCTTTAGTTGGATGCCATAAACCTAAAAATGAATGAATGAATGAATTTCAGATTGTCTATCTTTCAGAAAAGCTACCTTTAAAAATATGTTTTTAAAGAGTGTATTTTCAGGAGCAAAGAAAACACACCTAAGACAGATTTAAAAGTACCATACTTTAAAGACCATTGCATAGACATGTATACTATAAAGAAGAAAACTGTACACGAGTGTGCTGTTGGATATCTCCAATAAAATACTGAAGGTAATACTTAAATGTATATCACTTTGATAGGCTTACACATTTTAGGATAGGCATACAGATTCATCAAGCTCTACAGGTATACATTCAAGTAACATACATTTTCTACTCAGGAGAGAATGTGTCTTACACGGCAGCACTTGCCATGGATTGACCACACACGTTACAAATACCTGGCATGGATTAGCTCATTTCATGCGCACACAAACCTTGTGAGGTAGGTAGGCTGTCACCCCCATGTTACAGGACAGAAACTGAGACACAAGAGTGAAACCAGCTCAAGGCCTCACACCGAATAAGTGAAGATGTCTAGATACGAACTCGGAAGTTTGCTTTTAGATCCTATGGCCTTAGCCAATGCAGGACACGGCCCACCTAACAACATGAATTCAGAGCACCAAGAGGAAATACCAACCACAGGAAGCACATGCAAATCCTTCTTCAGCCATAGGTATTTGTGGGCCTAATGGGCATACACCGGAGAAGCAAATTGGTCCCAAATAATAAACTTAATTGGGCCTAAACTGATCATACTACAGGGAAATTGGAATTTTTTTTCAAGCTACAAGGTCATAGCCTTTTCTTGTTGGTGAAAGTCGTTTTGCACGCTGCTCCCTCTGTCCTGAGGTCTGCATAATTCCTGACAGACAGCAAGAAAAGCAGCACTAAGCAAATTCTGTAAGCAACTAGCTGCAAGCCTTCTTCCGGGTAACATATACCATTCTCTCATTTAAGAAGTTCTAGCACTGACCTTGGAAATTCCTGAGCGAGCTGGCAATTTACCTGGTCATTCATTATTTATAGCATTAGAATAAACTGATACATTGGACGACTCAAAAAAATTAACCTTGATCCCTTGGACTTTTGCATCCTTATCATGGTACTTTGCCAACATTACTGTGTTCTTGGCTAAGGCATGATATTTTAAGTACTACTTGATATAAAAGTAGAATTGCACACCCCAGAGACAAAATATGAGATCTGCACTAAATGTATACATGCCTTTCTGAGTTTTAAGTTGGAGTTGTATGAAATGAGTACAGTCTGTACGAAACCTAGTTAAAAAGGACATTTGTGCCTGGCCAGCTTGGTTCAGTGGTTGAGCACTGACCTATAAACCAGGAGGTCACCTGCCCGGGCTGCAAGCTTCATCCCAATGTGGGGGCGTGCAGGAGACAGATTCTCTCTCATCATTGATGTTTCTTTTCTTTTTCTTTTTATTTATTTATTTATTTTTAATTGATTTTTTACAGAGAGGAAGAGAGAGGGATAGAGAGTTAGAAACATTGATGAGAGAGAATCATCGATCAGCTGCCTCTGCACATCCCCTCCTGGGGATGTGCCCGCAACCAACGTATATGCCCTTGACCGGAATCGAACCTGGGACCTTTCAGTCCACAGACCGACGCTCTATCCACTGAGCCAAACCAGTTTTGGCTCATCATTGATGTTTCTCTCTCTCTCTCTCTCTCTCTCTCTATCTCTATCTCTATCTCTATCTCTCCCTTTCCCTTCCCTTCATATATTTAAAAGGCCATTTATGAAACACAGAATATATGTTCATGACCCTTGATAAAATGAAAAAGGTCACAAAACCTTTTACTCAATTCACATTGAATCAAGTATGTGGAAAAAAAAAAAAAGGAAAAGAAAAAAGACTTCACTGTAGCTGATTTCCTAAGCTCCAGATAAAGGTAACATCCATCTCATGCACTGGACCGCTTTTTAATGGGTGTGTGCACAACTACGATGCTACCTTTCCTTTCTTTGGAATTAATACCTTTGGTTGACTGTTGGCTTTTGCTCATTATGTTTTTCAGATCCTCTGATTTCTAACAGCATTAGTTAATTCTTGTTGCTCCCAACCTCTGGACCAGTATGTTCTTGTGAACAGGCTTAGTGCATTTCTCAAACCCAAGAAAGTTAAACAGTGAAAGGCTCATCACTCAGCCTCTGTCGTGGCTGCGAGTCCTGGGATTCTGGGAGCATCCGTTCCCAGCCCCAGCATGAGAGGGTTCACGACTCCCGCCCCAGCCAAGGAGGTTAGGAAGTGCCAAGAGCAACAGCAAAAAGTGACATGTAAGGTTGGGGGTGGGAGTTGGGGGAAGAAACAAGGGAACGACTGCTAATGGGTATGGGGTTTCCTTTGGGGATAATGAAAATGTCCTAAAATTGACTGTGATGATGGCTGTATGTATAACTCTGACCCACTGAAATTTTCATTCTAAATAAATGAATTGTAGGGTATGTAAATTAAATCTCAATTAAGCTACTCATGTGGCAGAGATTCCCTCTAAATGGACAAGCATCACCTGAGGTGCCCAGCCAGACAGCACAGCATCTTCCATCTGCGTCCTGTGCTCACCAATCTCTACAATCCCCTGGGAAACCAAAATCTGCCTGCTGCGATCCGGGCTTTCAGCTGGGACAAGACCCACTTCCCCCCACGCCTTTTCAGTGACTACATAATGACACAGAATTATCTTTTTATAATATGTAACATTGAAAAACAATCAAGTAAGCATACAGCAATATTACTAATAATGATCAGTCGCATGTATTTAGTACTTCCAAAGTCCTAGGGCTGAACTGTACAAATGTGACATTAATGAAACCTGTGAAAGCTTATAAAAGCACCTAAATTGTAGAACGTTAAAAATCCCGCAATTTGGCAGGAAGGGTGGCCCTGCTAGGGTCTTTAGGTCCATAATTCCACTTCAGTGGTCCACAAACCATGAACTGGGTGTTTTAGAAATTCCAGGAAAACATAATTTTCAAACTTTGTTTTTGAAAAAGAACCTTGTTGACATATACAGGCAAATGTATCCCCCAATCATTCTTTCAGTGGGGAGGGGGAAGGGACAGCCTAACATTTTAACTCATGTTGACACATTAACTTGCTTTTGGGAAAATCTCAGAATAAGGCTTCCCTTGTCATCTCCGCCTAACCGAGGAGTACCTTGAGTTTGCAAGGGCAGCCACTTTAACACTGTCAAAGCACTACTCATCTGTGGGACGGGCTTTTCTTGTTACTTTCAACGAGGAAAAAGAAGGACATTGAGTCTAGTGACACCACAGGCAACATGACCCTTGATTTTGAAGGATATGTTAATCAAAGCAGCTCTACTATTCCTACTTGTTAATTCACAAAAATGCCACAAATTTAAAATCATAAAAAGCCTCTGTTTCTGGCCACAACATACACAATCTAGTCACAACCTGGTCAGGCCGAGTGAGACACAGGGAATAGGAAGTGCTTAGTGGGACCATCCACGCAGCTGTGAAGAGTCAAATGGGAAGTTTGGGACAATATTGTACAGGGCCCTGTGGTAGATAGCGGGGCTTGCTAATTACAGTCAGTCGGCACTCTGCTCCGTCTACCCTTAAAGAGCTTGGAAACATATGGTGAGAATGGGTAACTTCCAAGTTCTAAAAGAAACTAGATGTTCACAGTGTCTACATTTCCATGCCAGCCTCTGACTTTAGTTACCCTAAGTCCTTCAAATTCTTGATTAGCTAAGGGGAGAAATGGTTTGTTGTACCAGAGGCAGTTCTAATTAAGTCACAGTTATGTCTTGCCTACTGGCTAAGCCCAGTGCTGGCCTTTAGCACACAGAGCTGGATACTGTGTAGACTCTACCTTCAAGAATCTCACAATTTATCTGGGGCTGAATCAGGAGTTGTTAAACCCTCTATGTGTGGACTCCTCCAGATCCTCGATCAGACCTGTCCAGCTGTCATGGTCTATGCTTCAAAGAGCAAATGATGCTGACTCCAAGGGAGAGAAAGGGAGTGCTCCAGAGCCACTGGCTCCTTCTTCTGCCCTGGCCTCCCCTTCATTCAGCTTCCTTCATCCTGGTTCTTCCTCTACAACCCATTATGTTCCTTCCTGGTATCTCATATCCTCACATGAAGCCCACATTCAACTGAGGGCCTGAGCCATTCAATGGACTTGAGTTTGAGTGACGGAGGAGGAGTAGAGGGTGAGATGAAGTAGACAGAGCTGAGCATGTCACAATCACATGGGCCTCAATTAAATAGATGAATGACCTGTTCAATGGAGGAACTGCAGTAGGTGACCTCTTTCAACATTAGAAAAATAAACCTGTGCCTCAACATGTATAGAATATTGGACACATATTCAGAGATGCTATCATGGGCTCAACCATATACTAAATATGTGACCTTGCAGAGTTGCCTGGCCTTCCTTATGGCCCAAAAAGGCAGGGCACAGGAAAGACTGAACCACTGTGAGCTGTCCCTATAATAAAAATAGTAATAATAATAATTATGATTATTATTATATTATTACTAGTAGTAGCAGCAGTAGTAAAAATGACAGAGGAAAGATTATGTATGAACTAGAGGCCCAATGCATGAAATGCGTACACTTTTTTGCGGGGGAGGGTCCCTCAGGCCAGCCTGCACCCTCTCACAGTCCAGGAGCCCTCAGGGGATGTCCGAATGATGGCTTAGGCCCGCTCCCTCCAGGGAGGCTCCCGCCACTGCCGTTATGCTCTCTAGCCATGAGCCCAGCTTCTGGCTGAGCGATTCTCCCATTGTGGGAGCACACCGATCACCGGGGGCAGCTCCTTACATTGAGCATCTGCCCCCTGGTGGTCAGTGCACATCATAGTGACCAGTCGTTCTGCCAATTGGTCGATTTGCATATTAGCCTTTTATTACATAGGATATATCAAAAGCACAAGCTCTTACAACTCTACACTCCAGTTTATGATGGACCACACCATCCTTTGCATTTGGCTAAAATTACCTCTCAGGTACAGCATTTAACCACAGTGGTAAGTAGTGCAGCTCACTCTTTAACAAGAAAAGCCAGGGACAGTAAAACACGGGTCTAATGTGGGCATAGATACAACCGCCCTCCCCTCACCTAGTATCAGATATGCTGAATATGACTTAGGTTGCCAATGACTGGTACTGAACTTAAAAAAAGCTACCATTATCCTAAGGATATTACATCCAGACAGTCTCCTCATGCAGCTCCAAAACCTTATGTAACCCTTTTAAACCTTTAATTATATCACGTTCACAGAACTAATCATTTATAAAGGTAGTGCATATAATCAGTTACTAAAATATGTCACGGTCTTACATCATTTTACTTTCATGAGTAACAGAAGCAGTGGCCTTCATAAAAAGAACTTTAAAAAATATTCTATTATGGAAAATATAAACATATTTTATGGAAATATTATGGAAAATATAAAGATATACAAAGGTAGAAAGTTTAATGAACTCTTGCGTTTATGACCATTTTTCAAAATTACATATACAAATGCTATGAGTCTAATACACCCATTTTATAGGATTAGCTACTTTTAAAGGAGTCATGAGTAGTATATTTCAGATTACTATTCTCTATTACTATTCAGATTATTTTCTAATTGCTTTCATTCTCCAATGCTCATAATTCTCACTTTGGAGCAAAGAGGGTACATTTTACATTTCACTTACCTGTAAAAAGGTGTGCACACGTTTTCTTAAGCTTGTTGGCTTGATCATATAGCTTCCGAGAACTTTTGTTGGATGTTGGATCCAACCGCTGTCTCATGGTTTTGACACCTTGTCTAGAGTCTGGGTTGAAAAAAATCACAATCGGGAACCACTGAGTGTAATTCAACAGGTCCACAGCCTTCGGAGTCACATCCAAGAGGGCATGCTTATCCTGTCAGAAATGGAGAAACGTGTGTAAATAGCATGTTAATTCACACAGCATTGAAGAGTTTGCCTTAATCAGTACAGGTGGCACCAATCAGGAAAACTTGTCAATTTAAATAATAAAGCAGAAGACGGTTCTCTTCACGAATGTCCACTTAATACCACCAATCTTTTAGGATTTCTGAGGAACAGAGTTCTTTGGTACAATGCTGAGAACTTTGGGGGAAAACACATCACAACCACAGGCTATCATGTTTCCACACAAAGAAACGTCTTGTCTGTATACTCATGTTTTATCATTAACATTTAACGATTATTAAAATACAGACTCCATTCTCAGAAAGACTACAGCAAACTACTGGTATGGCTCAGCTCTTCCTGACAATATGGCCTTCGGATTCGTTTTCTCACCTGTTCGATAATCTGCCTCACGGTGTTTAACCGCACCACCCCGCTGGACTTCTCAGATCCTGCATCCTTCGGCTCTGATTCTGGAGAAGCAAAAACAAGGAGCTAAATAATTGTTTAGAAACCACTGGCGATTTCTAAACACTCCAACCCAGCATCGGCAGTGATGTGACATCGGACATATGGTGCCACTTAATGAGAGGCAATGGAGGGACCCACCCAGGCTGTCAGGCCGAAATCTAATGAGAAAGCAGCCACAAGGGAGACAAGTGGCTTGGACTGTTCATGGAATCAATGTCACCAAATAATTTAGGAAAAAAGGAGACTAGAGAGGCACAAAAATCAAACGTGTTTCAGGGTCCTGGGTGGCATTCTGACTTTTAAAAAATAAACCATGAAATAGAAAATTGGAAAGTTGAGAAAACCTGAAAAATAGACTATGTACTAAATAATATCTTTGAACCCATGTTAAACTTCTGGCTGTGATCATGGTAATGTGTAGGAGGAGATAACGTCTTTATTCTTAAGAGATTCACAGGGATAAAAAGTGTTACAATGTCTACAACTTCAACTTTCAAATTGTTCAGCAGAAATTTTAAAAAGTGTGGAAGTGGTGCCGATAGTATGTGGGGGACTATATATACATATGGCAAAATGTTAATACGTGCCAGTGATTCCAAGTGATGTGTATGTGAGTGTTTATTATGTTTTCATTTTTTTTCTATACATTATATATTTTCAAATTAAAATTTGGTGAGAGAAAAAACGTCATGGAGAGACTTACTAGCAATTTGGAACAGGTCAGGTAACACACTTGCCAACTTTTCCATCGCGATATCAGCTATGGGGCCAAACAACACCACGGGTCTCTTGAAACCAGCTGAAATGAGACAAGAAAGGCAATGAAAACACATACACCTCCTCTGCCATTAAAATAAGAAGCAAGAGTACTTTATAGGCTACTGATAACGTCTCCACGAAAGAAGCTGTATGTTCTCCCACCCCAATTCAGCCAAGGACTCCTCTAAAGAACATGCCTTCATTCCCCTACTATCAAAGAGAAACTTCTCTAGAGGCAATATGCAAAAGTCGCTGAACGGCAGTATGAAACACTGACCAAGGTCATGGATACGCTGCCACTAGTGAGTTTGTGCAGCTCGCCTCTTTGTCTTTTTTAGTGTTTGGATACAAGTCCAACTCTATAGCCTGGCTTTGGTCTCAGGGATATAGAAGCCTGATCTTGACAGTCATTACAATCTGAAAACGAAAATGGACCGGCCCCGAGCCCAGTCGGATCCCTTCCTAGCCCCGCGCGGCTCCCTCACCTTCTCGCAGCAAAACCCTCTCATAGGCGGGGAACTTGGTGCTAACGGACACGGCAGCTGTGAGGTCTTCCCGGCTCTTCCTCAGGTTCTTCTTCACGCCCGACCTCTGGCCACGCATCCTCCAGAAGTCCGCCCTGTCCCCAGCGTTGTCTCTCTGGGCGTTCTGGACGCTGGCCATTTGCTCCGCTCTGAGGGAAGAAACCACAGGAAGGAACGCTCTAGAGCCAGGAATGTGCGAGTGTGCGTGCGATTCACCGGGTCTCCTCAGCATTTCTGATGAACCCGGGAAGATGCAGCCTGACAAGGACGAGGTCTCACAGGTGGGAAATGTGGGACTCTCTCTTCCCGGTGGGGCTGGATAAAGGCTTGGTTCCCATGAAATCCACCAGAAGTAGCTGAGTAAGGAGCACACTACACGTGGCTCATTCTGACAGGCTGGTGTCCAGGCAATAGACCTGAAACCCTGGCTAAAATACAGGTGCCCTGCCTATTCTCCCTGGTGGCAGCAAACCAGTATGAGTCCTCTGGGGCCGAGGATGAGGATGAGGGACAAGCACTGGCCTGGGACAACACGACCCTAGGGATGTGCTGGTTTCCTACAGCACTCGGCATCTGCTTGCATCCCACTTAACGCAGTGGACAAGCCTTAGGTCTTGGAACATCATTCAAAGCCACGAACCAGCTGCCGGCTATTTCACCATTCTAGGCCAATCCTCACAAACAGGAAGTAGAGGATGATGGGGGAGGACATGAGGACAAATCGTGAAGCCAAATGCGGCTTCTTTTTGAGGAGGGCGGGACTGTGGCTTATTTGTGGGGGACTGTGAAAGAGGGGCAGAGGGGCGTGTGGGATCGTGTGATCTCAGACAGATACCTGCTTTTGTTGGGGATTAAGCCTTTCTCCAACTCGTTTCCGATCCTCACGGCCAGCCAGTGGCCCAGCTTGCCATCGTACAGGGTGTCCACCACTCGGAAGATCTCCCCCCGCGTGAAGGCCAGGCTCTGCGGCGTTTCCTTCTCACATTCAAAATGGCTCCTTATGAAAAATGAGTCCCCTCTGCCACAAGCCAGGATCTCTCTGTACACTGGAAGGCAAGAGCATTGCTGTACATGCTGCCCTCTGCTTAGCGAGTGGTCTTTTCTTAAAGAGTTATCAGCTTCTATTTCTGATCACCCCCTTTACCTTCTGTCCACTTAGCAAACTCAGTATATAGGCCCTACAGTTACCAATAGGAAGAATAAAAAACTATGTGCTACCTTGATGATTAATTTTATGTGTCAACTTGGCTGGCCCACAGGATGCCCATGTATTTGGTCAAATATTATTCTGGGTGTTTAAACTGATAGACTAAGTAAAGCAGACTGCATTCCCTGATGTAGATGGGCCTCAGCCAATCAGTTGAAGGCTTGAATAGAACAAAAAGATGAACCACTACTTAGAGGGAAAAAACTCTTCCCACCTTTGAGTGAGACACCAACTTTTCCCTGCCTTCACCCTCAGATAGAAACACCAGTTCCTTCTAGGTCTCAAATCTGCCAGCTTTTGGACTTGGACCAAAACTAAATTATCAATTCTCTGGAGTCTCCAGCTTGCCATTCACTCTATAGATTTTGGGATTTTCCAGGCTATGCAATTATAGGCCAATTCCTTATAATCAATCAACCTCTCTCTCTCTCTCTCTCTCATCTCTCTCTCTCACACACACACACACACACACACACACACACACACACACACACCCTACTGGTTCTGTTTCTCTGGAGAGCACTGACCCTGCTGTCAATCAACCCTCTGAAGCAGACAGGAAAGACACTACCAACTCCGATTCTTTAGGTGAAAACAATGAGACCTGGTAAGGTGAAACAACAGGTCAGATGGTTAAGAGTTAATGTGGGAGCTGACCAGTAGGTAGGGCTCTCAACATCCATCACATGAAAGACTCAACAATAACTCCAGGCAGTACTTAAGGATGGGTCACTGTTCAGAAAAGCAGTAATGTACTCCAAACTGACAAAACCAGTGAAATTACTTCAGTGTGTGCATAGCAAACATTTCTATAGAAAGTTAAATGGTGCCCAACTTGCCTCCAAAGATTAGGTATTAGAATCCATTTCCATTTTTAATACCCGCGTTTTCCTCTTCTGGTCCCAAGACACTCCTCTCATCCTCCCCGCAACCTCCCCCACCACTGAACCCAGGAACAGACTTGCTCACCATCAGCTCGGCTCTGAGCTAAAATGGTCACCATTTCGCCTTTGGGGATTTCTAACAGGTAGAGGACAGCATCTTCCCGAACCATCCCTCTGAAATCCTGGGTGTTCACCTGATGGGAAGGGCAATCGGGAAAAACAAAAACAAGAAGTTATGTATAAAAGGTGCTGCCTTAGCTCTCATTGGATTATAACTTCTAACACTCTCTCTGGGCCTTTTCACCAGGGTCTTCCTAGAGCAAAACTCAGAGGGAAAAAAAAGTCCTTAGTGCCCCTACTCAGGCCCTCCCAGCTATGGGCCTGGCCTGTGGGGGCATCACCACACCTGCCTGCTTCCCACACTGCCAGCGCCCTTAGGGAGATGCATTCTGTCCAAGACCTGCCAGGCGATCAGACTGGAACTTTCTGTGGTTGTGTTTGTTTTTCTTTGAGTCTCCCATTGAGATAGCCAGGGAGGTAATGACCATGAAAGAGGTAACTATAAGCAACAGGGAGTGGTGGGGTCTACTACCACTCCAAGCATGCTGGCCTAGCTGAAGGCATTAACACTATTTTTAAATTGGTTCAAATAAAAGCCTGAAAATAAAAGTTCTGATCAATTCGGTCTTTCTCCTAGAGCTTCTACTACCTAAAAGTCGTTTAATAGGAGTTTAGGAAATTAAAGAGCATTCGCCTTATATGGGATGCAAATAGTACAGGCTTATGTGTTTAAGCTTCCTACACACACTCATTTCTGGCAAGGAGATTACAACTGTAAGTAGCACTCGGAAGTTCTAAAGCAAGTAAAATTGAAATGTGGGAGGGAAAGACGTTTTGACATCTTTGTTTTGTACCTTTCAAACCACGTGACAAGAGAAAAATTACAAATAAGTAAAATACAAGAATAACTTTCAAGTCCCTAACATTTTAATAATGCATGACAGAAGTAAAAAGTACAGAATTCCTATGAAATATGTTCTTCAGTCATTGAGGATTGTAGAATCCTTTAATCAAAGAGTACTGCTTTATTACTAAAAGCAGTTCATTCATTAATGTTAAAATGGTATGATTTAATGAATGTTAGAATTTATAATCCAATGAAAACAGGTAGTAACTAAAACTTATTTGGTACTTTTATTTTTATTATTTTAATATATTTTATTGATTTTTTTAGAGAGGAAGGGGAAGGGAGAGAGAGTTAGAAACATTGATGGGAGAGAAACATCAATATCAACTGCCTCCTGCACACCCCCTACTGGGTATGTGACCACAACCAAGATACATGCCCTTGGCAGGAATCAAACCTGAGATCCTTGAGTCCACAGGCCGACGCTCTATTCACTGAGTCAAACTGGTTAGGGCTTACTCGGTACTTTTAAAATAAAATGATCTGCTAAAGCAACCACATTAACTTTCCCTTTGAAACAATATTTAGCACTTAAGACAACTGTCATTCTCATCTCTCTATCCCCCAATTAGGGGTCATTGATTGCACTTTGTCACTGATGCTTTCTTATGCCATTTGTAGATCTACATCTGTGTCTATAAATGGCCACATGTATGTTTTTATATGAATGCATATGCTTCTATTTGTTTATTTACATAAGAGGGACATAGGCCTGGAGAAAGCCCTAAAGGTCCCTCTGTCCATCTCTACCGCCATGTGAAACTGACCTTCCATTAAGCCAAAACACTTTTAATAGTCAAAATTTAAGCACCCAGGGTAGCTACACTGTAAAATCCACATGGTTAATGAGCAAACTTAGAGGCGTTTTTTGTTTTTCTTTTTTTCTTTTCCATCCCCTAAAAGTTTCTGAAAGGGAAATGACAACCCTGCCAGGCCAATAATAAGCAGAGAGACAGCCCGGCCTCGCCCCAGGGCATGTCTGTTTCTGTTATTTACAGACCACACACTCCCTGGGCACAGCCCACTCCTGTCTTCTCTCCACAGGTCAGGCTGTCACCTGGCAAAAGGAAGAGCCGCACTTCAAACCCCTGGGATACAAAACAGTGGCTGGCGCCTGTACATGGTGCACCACACAGACTCAATGTCACCATGTAAAGGAGTTCTGAAACAAATTCAAGTAGAAACAACAACAACGGGGCAGCACGTTGACTCTTTGAAAATTAGACTGTACAGTCCTCTCCAAGGAAAAACCTCTTATTGTCTATTTAGGAGCTGACAGGGTCCGGTGCCCGCTGGGAGCCCAAAGAGGCGTCTGTGTCAGCCTCGGCTCATGCGTGTGGATTGGCCTCCCTGCCCATCTTTTTCACCCCTCTTGTGGTCCTCAGAAAACTGACTCGCAATCAGGAGCCAGGAAGCCAGTTCCCACGGTTTCTTCCTTGTCGCCAAGTGAAAACAGGAAACAAGACACTTTCTTAAGAATAAACGCTGCATACCACAGCTTTTACCCATGGAAGTGACTCTCCCAGCTCTAGCGACTTACAGAGAGGTCAACCTGTCAAGTCCCTCTGTGAATTCCCTATTTCGTTTTTCCCATGGAAATTCAGAAAACCTTTTTCCCCCTAAATAAAAAAATATTTTACTCTTGATCCTTCCTGAGCAAAAGCTCCATAACTCCAACCTGGCTTCCGACGGCCCCAATACTAGTTAGGAAACACGTTTTCTCTCCCTTGGCATCGGCCCAGGAGTAAATTGGTATGAGCTGGCACTGGATGGGACTCTTATCAGTAGCACTTGGTAAGTGATGTTTCCTAGGATCAGGTGGCACCACAAGGTTCACTCAGGTACACTGCGTCTTCTAGGAACCTGACCAGCGCCAAAGAGGGTCTAGAATGTCACTGGACAGCTTCCGCCAAGCTCACGATCTAGGTTTGCCCTTCGTGTGCTCCAGAAATGAAAGCTCACCTACTGCAGCGGGGCCAAGAGCCAAGAGCCTAGAGGGCTGCCCGCTTGGTGCTCTGCGTCCTGCTCCCTCGGGAATTCCACGTTCACACCCCTCTCCTCTGAGCCCAGATGCTCTTCCCAGACCCCCTAGGAACTCCCACAGAGGAGATGCACGCTTACAGAAGCAGGAATCCCAGCATTTTGTATTTGGAACAGCCGAGAGGTACCTGACCTTCCTGAAGTTTATTCCGAAGTCCCTGGGAAATACATCACACCTATCGCATAAAACGTCCAAGCTGCGTTGGCTATCACTTTTTAAAACCAAGAGATTACACAAACTCCTATAGAGTAACTTTAAAAGTTCTAATATTTGATTAACCAAGAAAGCCCCCTCCTGGGAGGCTTCGGATGTCAATAACACATCCAGCGGCAGCCACTTATTCTTTTCCAGCAGGCGCAGAAGGGACATGGTCCTTCGTGCTCTGTGCCAGGAACTCCGCCAGGTGCCTGTGTTATCTGCGCTCATCTCCCAGGGTCCCTGCACGGCTGGTGTTCCTATCCCCACTGAACAGAGACAGAAACCCGAGTCTCAGGGGTTGAGCCAGGGTCACAGGACTAATGAGGGCCTGGGATGGGATTCAAATCAGACAATCTGGTGCCAACACCCACCTCTGTTCAATTACAGCACACTGCCCTGAGAGTGACAACCAGACAGGGGAATCGATGAAAGACAAAATTACAGGTCGGCTAGCAGACCTGTGGTTGACCGTCGACCTATGAACCAGGCGGTCACGGTTCAAATCCCGGTCAGGTGAGGGCATATGTCTGGGCTGTGAGCTTGATCCCCAGTAGGGGGCATGCAGAAAGTGGCTGACAGATGATTCTCTTTCATCATTGATATTTCTATCTCTCTCTCCCTGACCCTTGCTCTCGGAAATCAATAAATATATACTTAAATAAAATAAACCCAAATTAGCAAGATTGTCTTGTTGTTAAACCTCACCCAAATATATTTTTCCATTGACTTTTTAGAGAGTGGAAGGAAGGGTAGAGACAAAGAGAGGAAAACATCAATATGACAGATATACATCAATTGGTTGCCTGCCACACTGGCCCCAAACAGGGCAGGAGGTATGTGTCCTCGACCAGAATTGAACCCAGGACCCTTCAGTCTACAGTCCGACGCTTTATCCACTGAGCCAAACCAGCTAGGGCAGCAAGATATTTTGAAAGATCTTCTTCCTAGGCTTTAGCTACAGTCTTGATTTTTTGTTTGTTTGTTTGTTAATAAAAAGGGTCTTGAACATTATAAATTCCCACCCTGGAATTTGGGTCCAGAACTGAGAAGACAAGACCCATTTCAGGGAAACTGAGACCTTGATAGCGGGCATTGACAAACCTGCAGCCGGCCTATTTCACAAGTGGGACCCCTTCCCCCTCCCTTAGAGAAGACAGCCAGAAACCCCACTCTTTCCCAATAACTTCCAGACACAGGACGGGGCTTTCCTTACCTTCAGAATCTGGTCACCTTCTAGAAGGCCTTCCTGGTCTGCCGAGGTCCCCTCTTGAATGCCGCCCACAAAGATCCCGACGTCATTGCCACCGGCCAGCCGCAGGCCCACGCTGTCCCCCTTCCTGAACCTCACCATCTTGGTGTTGGGGCTTCGATGGTTCCAGTTTCCGAGAGGGAAAACGGAAGATTATTTATGTAAAAGGGGACCAACATGAGCAGATTAAGAGATTTAATTTCTTCTTTCTATAGAGTGATGTATAGTCTCATTTTTCTCCTGGCATGTGTTAATATTATCTTCCTTGGGACTGTACGATGAATATAACAGGCCCACTTTACCAGTGTTGAAGTGAAAACATAGAATGTCCATGGGAGCTCACTCCAGATTAGAAAGCAAAGGAAGGACAAGGTTAGGGTTAAAATCAAGGCCGTATAAACTAATCAAGCCTCTCGCTGAGCCAGGGCTCCTGCCAAACGGACACACAGCCCGGGTTCAAGAAGCCACCTCCTCATCCAGGAGCTGCTGCTCTTGAACACTGACCATGGTCAAGTGCCCAGCATGGCGTCCCCGTCCCTCCCCCACCCTGGGATCCTCCTGTCTCTGCAGCCCAACAGCGGCACCTGGTAAGCAGCAAGCCCCCTGTCTGTTGTTACCCAGCTGCCAAACTCAAACATCCAGAATCACACTCTGTGGCCAGGGAAGGACACACCAGCTAACGTCACCCACTTCTCCCACTTCCACACTTCACTCCCCCACAAATGATTTCTCTTTCTCATGAACACTGGCAACAGGGGTTAGTACAAGGTGGCTGATTACATGCAAAATCACCACCCATCACTAAAAAAAAACCACCAAAAACACCATTCTTCTGGCTTTCAGTTCAGGAGAAAGAGCTATGGGGAAGAAGACAGGGAAAGAGAGACGGGAGCACATACCCATAAATCGCTTCGTCTTCAGGACTGGGACGAAGAAAAGTCCTCGGTAATGCTTTCGGTTGAGGAGCTGTGGGTTAGAAAGCACCTGTCATTATCGACTTGGACTAAAAGGAGTGTGTGTGTGTCTCAAGATATAAAGATCACAAAACCCACCAAAAATTCAATTCTGTACCTCTATGCTACATACGTGTCATCACATTATACCACAAATGTTAAGTCTTTAGAGTGAAGTTTAATTTTAAGATGGCAGGTGCCAATCGTTCCTAAGTAAGTGAGAAATGAACCTCTAAAATGCAAGGTGTCTCTTCCTTTTGAGGATGACTTTTCAAGTAATTTTTCTCTCTCCTTCCAGCCATCCTCTGGACTGACTGAGCAGAAACTTCTAAAAGGGACTATTTATTTATTTAAAATGAGCCTCACCCATGGTGTGATTCCTGGTCAGGGCACATGCCCGGGTTGCAGGCTCAAGAGCTGTGTAGGTGGCAGCCAAGCAGTGATTCTCTCTCATCATTGATGTTTCTCTCTCGCTCCCTCTCCCTTCCTCTCTGAAATAAATAAAAATGTATTTAAAATAAGTAAATAAAGTGAGCCTTACCGGGGGCTTCCTCTTGGTGTTTGGGCTCCTGGCTAGTCTCTGCAGCGGCTGCGATGTCCCCTGCGCACTTGAAGGGAGTGGGTGTGGAGCCGATCCGGGACCATCTGTTCTGGATGTCCTCCCTGGAACTTAAGCACACGGCACGTAAACATCTCATCATGTGACCGGTGCACACGCACCTCTGTGTGCACATGCACAGCGGCGTGTGCGAGGGGAAACACACATCGCCTCACCTGGGCTTTTCCTTCAGCTTCTCATTGGAGGAATGATAGTCGTAGTCGGAATACGGCTGCCGTCTCTCCTCTGGGGAAAACGATCGGTTTGACTCTATTTCCGAGAGATCTGGTTTCAACAATAAGAAAAGACTTTGCCATGAAATGTTTAAAAGACTTGTACCAGACATTATCCCCGCTCGGGTTAGGAAACAGGGGAAATAGAAGAGAGGCAGGCGGTAAATGTGCTATTAGTCTAATACTTTTCCCAAAGTGAAAAACAAAAACAAAAACAAAAAAAACCTGATAGTGGGATTATGAACTGTTCGTATATACATTTTTTTCTAGCATGTTCTGTCGGAAGGGGAGGGCATCTATAATAATAAAAGCCCAATATGCTAATTAGACCAGATGGCCAAATATCTGGCATTCCGGGGCTTCGAGGACTAAGGCAAGCCACCGTGGCTGTGAGGGCCAAGCCCTTTGCACAAATTTAGGGCATTTGGCCTCTAGTTAATTAATAAAGAGAGAGCCCAATAAAGAATTCTAGGTCCCTCTTTCATCACACTTTCAATCAAAGCTGCTACTGAAGACTCAAAGTTCAATTACTGGGTCACCCGTATATGCTTCTCCAACATTAATGCACACACAAAACCATCCACGCTCTTGTTCTGGGGTGAGAATGCAGCTGTCCCTGGGGTGAGGCCGGAGACACTGCAAGTGTATCAAGCTCCCAGATGCTGCTGAGGCTGCCAGTGGGGTGAGGACCACACTTTGAAAAGCAAGGCAACACACGCCAGGCTCCCAGCATGCTGGGATGACTTCTCTGCGCTGTTCATAGCAGTAACAACGGCTTAGACGATGGATATAACGGAAATTAAACTAAGCTCTAGACAGCCATTCTTTTTAAAATCAACATCTGTTTTAACACTTGAGAACCTAATACTATTTTTTCTAAACTTCGCCACACAAAGGCAATTTGAGATGGTTCAGTAGGATATATCGTGATTATTTATGTTTATTGGTAATTGTTAGATGATTCAAGTATTATCCTGGGTATAATTCATATTTGAGAAATGAATATAATGCCTTAGAAGAAAAGAAGTGACATGGATTGCTAACCACTGAATACACAATATAAGCCATTCTGATTCTTCATTACAGTGTCTACCAGTTTAGGCTATCCTCCAGATTGTCTTCTCTTTGTTGGAAATATTAAGTCACTTTAAAAAAAACGTAAGAGCCCAGCTGGTGTGGCTCAGTGGTTGAGTGTCAACCCATAAACCAGTCAGGGGCTCAATCCCCAGAGGGAGGCATGCAGGAGCCAGCTGATCAATGACTCTATCTCATCATTGATGTTTCTATCTCTCCCTCTCTGAAATCAATAAAGATATATTAAAAAACACGTGCAAGAATGAGCGATTTACAAATGTATGTGGTTCTTTGAACTTCTCGTGAATACGAGTTTTACTACCATATTTTGTTTTCAGCAGCCTAATCCGTGTCCACTGGGAGCTCACAAGTGCACCAGAATCTCGCATGGGAAACCGAATTTCAACAGACACTTTAACAAGACAGTAAGAACCGAACACTTCTCTTTCGGAATCAGAGCTTCACAGAGAGGCTTTCACTAGCAACTGAACTTCCCGTGGGATGGCTGGGCTAGACAGAGGTGAGCATGCGGACGCAACGGGGCTTCCAGCCTTGCTCACAGCCTCCTCTTTACCTTCGGAGTCGCTGTCATCTAGCGCCGGGATGTGGATGAGCGTCTGCTTGCTGTCTCTCAGCACCACCAGCTGCAGTTTTCCTCTTGACTTTTCTATCAGTTTCCGAGCATCCGTTAAAGACATGTTCTCGGTTACAGTGCCGTTTATCTGTGTTCAAAAAGCACAGGAATGGTACATGCAATACAGCTATTCACGGCAAAGGAGAAAACCAACATTTCCCACTAAAAAAATGTCAAAGACTTTGCTCGTCTATTCAAACAGACCTGGAATTTAGGGGGATGGAGTAAAGGGGGGGGAGGGGGGACGCTGAGTAAAAATGCATTATCCTTTCAATTAACTATAACCCTGCATGCCTGGATCCCAAATACAGGCATGAGAGTGCTGTTGTGTACTTAAGTTACTCTGCTAATTTATTTACCTTCCAAGCTCAAGACGATGGTTTGGCTTACTCCGGAAGGTGTCTCCTGACCAGAGAGGTTTACAAAAACTATTAAATATTCAGCATTCATATACCACCAACTCTCCCTCTCATCTTTCCTTCATTTAGGGACTAGGAGCTTAAACTTTAAACAAACAGGGAAGGGGGTTAAAAAAAAAAAAGTATTCAGTGATATATTTTTAAAAACTGCTATTAAACTAGGACAGCGTTCTCCAAGTCTGGTTTTTCTGATAAAAATGGTCTCCCCGTGCTGCTCTTCCCAGCCTCTGTCCTAATACCGCGTCCCCGTGCGGCCACGTTCCACTGTGTTCCACCTGAATGTGGTCACGCAGGCGAGGAGCCCAGCTGGAAGCTGACCGTCCTCTCGCCCGGTCACCCACCTTGAGGATGATGTCCCCTTCATGCAGGTTGCCGTCCTTGGTGGCTAGACCAGTGCTGGTCATCTCCTTGATGAAGATCTGACTCCCCAGCCGGAGACCGTACTCTGGAGGACGAACAGAAACAGATACCCACCTCATCAGCTTGCTCAGAACACTTAGTCTGATTTTCAGGACTATTTAAAAAGACGGATGAAAATCAACTCTGAATGTGGGATATTCTGTGAGAGAACTGGCCTAGAGGCATCAAAAGAAGTCAAGGTCACCCTGGCCAGTGTGGCTTACTTAGCTGAGTGTTGTCCTTTGTTCCAAAAGGTCACGGGCTCACTTCCCAGTCAGGACACATGCCCAGGTTATGGGTTTGATCTCTGGTTGAGGTCCTAACGGGAGGCAACCAATCAATGTTTCCCTCTCTCTCTCTCTCTCTCTCTCTCTCTCTCTCTCTCTCTCTCTCTCTCTCTCTCTCTTCTTTTCCCTTCTTCTCTCTCTAAAAATCAATAAAATATATACTTTTAAAAGTCAATGTCATACAAAATAAAAGAGACAGAGGGACTGTTCCATATTAATAAGAGGCATAAAAACTAAATGCAAGAATCTTCACGAGGATCCCTGACCCAATGTGGAGAAGAGGTGGTAGGGGGTGGGTCACATTATTCTAGAGCAACTGCAAAATAAACTACACTGTAATATATTAAAACGGATATTAATGCTATTGTGATAAAGGCATTACGGGTATGTAGGAAGATGTTCTTAGCCTCAGGGGATACCTGCTGAAATACTTAAGGGTGAATTATTTGTCCGTTGCCTGAAACTTCCTTTTAAGTGGTTCCAGAACCCTACTGGGAGACAGGGAGTAAGGGAGCAGGAGGGATGAGGGAGAGGGAAAAGGAGCAGGAAAGAGTGGAAAAAGGCAAGGAGAATGAGAACAAATGTGGCAAAATGTTAACAACTGTTCAATGTGTTAATGATGTTAAAACTAGGTGAAGGCTATGTATGAGTATTCGCTATAAAATTAACACTTTTCTAAATAAAATGTTGGGGAGATAAAACACACACACACACATACACACAATTCTGCTGGCACTGCCCACAGAAAGGCCTTCATGTGTAACAGCTTATCTTGTGTGGGGTTTAGCAATGAAAATATTTCAGTGTGTGAAGAAAAGGGGTAAACAAACCAGGCAAAGCAATAAAGTATTTAATTAAAACCAGCATAGCTCTGAGGTTTTATGAACACTGAATTACTCTCAAAAGAAAAAACACTGTACTTAGTACAGTTTTGCATTTCTTGTGGGTTGATGAATTAATGTCATTATAAAAGGTTAGAAAAAGTCTATAGAGCCGAAACCGGTTTGGCTCAGTGGATAGAACATCGGCCTGCGGACTGAAAGGTCCTGGGTTCGATTCCGGTCAAGGGCATGTACCTTGGTTGCGGGCATATCCCCAGTAGGAGGTGTGCAAGAGGCAGCTGAACGATGATTCTCTGTCATTGATATTTCTAACTCTCTATCCCTCTCTCTTCCTCTCTGTAAAAAGTCAATAAAAAAATATTTTTTTTAAAAAGAAAGAAAAAGTCTATAGAATCTTTAAGCCTCCTGAGATGCATATTTCTCAGAGATAGTCTATTTAAGACAACTTTCCAACCTGGACAGCACTAAGTTTTTCACTTTGCTTCTCCCCCCCCCCCCCCCCCCCTTTGAAAGGAGAACAATTAGAGAACAAGAAAAAAGATTTGTTACAAGAACTGTAAAAAGTCAGAAGCCAGCCCTCGTCAGTTTGGCTCAATGGATAGAGCATTGGCCTGCAGACTGAAGGGTCCCAGGTTTGATACTGGCCAAGGGTTGCAGGCTCGATCCCCAGTAGGGAGCATGCAGGAGGCAGCCAACCAATGGTTCTCTCTCATCGTTGATATTTCTCTCTCTCTCTCCCTTTTTCTCTAAAATCAATAAAAAAAATGAAAAAATAAAAAGTCAGAAGCCAAAAACCAATGCAAGGAATATCACACCAACGGGTTCTACAGCCCACCCATTCACCTGCTTGTCCCCTCTCCCCAATGGAAATTTGAATTCTAGCTCCACCACCCACCCCCTGGCTTCAAGATGTGGGCAAGCTGCTTCCCCTCTGAGTTCCAGAATCCTCACCTAAACGGCAGGGGCTGGGAGCTCCCCTCGCTGCCACAGGGTTTTAGTGACTCCTGGACTGGACGTGGGACCCGCAGCCTGGCCACGGCCCGCCTCGCGCCTGGGCGCGCTACCAGCGTTGGGGCTCTTGGGTTCCCAAGACAGAATGTAAGAGGAAACCTTGCAGAAATCGCCAGGCAGATTTATTAAGCTTACGCTCCAGCACCAGCAAAAGCTGAGGGAGACAGCGCAGAGGCAAGGAAGGCCCTCGGACCTGACTGAGGGCCAGCTCTGCGGAGGTGCTTCTCTAAGCTGGGGACGGAGCGGGCTTGCACAGAACGATGGCTTTTAGGAAAAGGTGGGCTTGTGGAATTTTCCACGTCAGGGTAGGAAAAGCAAGCGGTTAGAAGAAAGATAAAATTCTGCACTTTTTTTTGGGGGGGAGGGGGGGCTGGGAATGGAGGGGTGGTACATTCTTGTGGTCAGCTTATCTGGCCTTCCTTCTGGCCACCTGGCCATAACTTGGCTTCCCAGCCACTGGGTACTTTTCCATTCCCGAGGCCCACGTCCCTGTGCTATCCTAGGCATACCAAAAACTTCTCCGAACTCTCAAACTCCAACCTACCGCACAGCATTAAGTCCTGGCATAGAGGAAAAATGCAACCAAAATGTTATTCTCTCCTGTGGTCTCATCAGTGTAAGCTACACCAGGCTAATTGGGGGGGGTGGAGGAATGGGGTGGGGACTGGTTAACAGATTCCAGGTTTTCACCCCAGTGTTTCTGCGTCAGCGGCAAGGGCCTGAGCATCTGCATTTCTAGCCCGTGCCCAGGTGCTGCTTGTGCTGCCTTGAGAACCACTGGCCCCGAAATTAAAAGCCGGATCTCTGCAGCCTGGGCTAGTTCGATGTGCAAGTCCATGAACCGCTCTGTGCCTCAGTTTCCTCGTCTATAAAAGGAAGATGTCCTAACTCCTACGCGAGGGAGTGATGAGGACGGTGTGAGCTACTCGGGGCGAAGCGTGTAGGTCAGTGGCACGACCTAGGACGTGCCACGGCAGAGCTAGCTGTTATTACACGAGGGCTTTTCTTCACCGGCCGTCCTACCTTCATGTGCTTTGTTTTTCGTCAGAAGGACTCCGATGGGCTTGTCAGCCTCTCGGTCCCGCCGTGCTCTCGGCTCAGGGGTGGGGCTGCCCAGGCGGAGCTGCTCGCAGCTCCGGGACATCTTGTAGCGGGCATCGGGCTGCCCCCGGGGCCGGTGCTCCGCCTCCGGGCTGTAGGCCCGCTCATAGGCCTGGTCGATGCTCCGGCCTCGCCCGTGGCTGCTGTCTCGGCCTCGCCCATAGTCGTGGTCCAGGCCCCGCTCCAGGCTCCGGCCGCGCGCGCTCCGGTCTCGGGCTCCGTCGTAGTCATCACGATCCAGGCCCCGCTCCAGGCTGCGGCCGCGGCTCCGTTCTCGGGCTCGGCCATAGTCGCCGTGGTCCAGGCCCCGCTCCAGGCTCCGGCCGCGGTCCCGCTCCTGGCTGCGTGGACGGTCGTGCGGATGGCCCCGCTCCAGGCTGTTCTCCCAGCTGTGCAGCCGGCTCCTCTCGCTGTACCGTTCGCTGTACCCGCTGCGGGCACTTCTCCGGTCAAACTCATCCATCACCTCGAAAGCCCGGTCTTCCTCGTTGAGCGGAAGGCCACCCTGCAGCGGGGCCAGCTGGACCTTCCGGGGCCTCTTGACCACCTGTTAACCACAGCACAGAGGGGAGGTAGGACAATCACAATTCAACGTAAGAGAATGTCATGGCTAAAAGCTCTGGTTCTCCTTCTAGTAAAACTGTGTCCCTAAGCCTCAGGTTCCTCATCTGGAGTACAGGGACAATAAAGACCTCGTAGGATCGAGAATCAAGTCAGACAATGAATATAACGGTCTCAACACAATGCCTGCAAAACCCGCTTCTACTCAGAGAGTGAAAAGTACCAAGGGACTCTAACACTATCTTACAAAAATGGAAATCCAGAAAGTGAGACAGTCTATGCACAACTGTCTAGATTCTTCTAAAAGTCAGTGTCATTAAAAGAGAGGGTGAGGGAGGAGGTTAGGAGAAGATGTGGGAGAAAGAAGAATCCTTCTAGATTAGAAAAGACGAAAAAGACAAAGGCCAGGTGCAATGAATGAACTATGATAGAATTCCAGGGGGAAGAGAAAAAAAAAAGTCCATCAAAGAAACCTTAGGATGTGGACTGGATATTAGATGATGTTACAGAGTTTGTTCGTTTTCTTAGCGAGGACCATAGTGCAGTTATGTAGAGGAATGTGTCCTTATTTAGAAAAGATATATGGTGAAATAGAACTGAACTGCCATGTATGCAACTTCCCTTCAAATGGTTCACTAAAAATATGTATGTGTTTTTATACACAAATGGAGAAAGAAAAAAAAGTCAATATGGCAGAATGTTAACATGTAGAAGACATATGTGTTTATTACATTCATCTTTGGACTTTTTGCTTGAAAAAATTTCGCAATATAAAGTTTAAAAAAAAATAAAATACCACATACCCAGTGCATCCCCCAACCCTGCCCTTACACTCACTATCTTCCAAATTCCTGCTGTGTGTGTCTCCAGCCCCGCTAGAGAGGGCAGACCTGCTGCAGGGCCAAGAGGCATCTGGCTCACTGCTGATTCTCAACCATGAGAGAGAGAGCAACTGAACGAATGCTACAGACGGCCACCTTCTCCTAAGAAACTTCTGTTTATGAAGACATAACAGATCTTGTTTGGGCCGTTACCAATGAGTTTCTGAGCTAAAACGTATTTTCTCCATGAATGCTCTTTTTATCCCTGTTCTCAATCTAGGCAATTCTCATGGAGAATTATCGTCTACCCTGGCCCTGAAGGTAAAAAACTCACTCAGATGAAAGAGTCCTTGGTCACACGAAGTCCAAAGAAAGACGAGAAAGAGGCAGGGAGGCATTATTTGCATACACCTCTCCCTCATCCACTACAGCGCCCTCCTAAAGCACAGAGGGTACAAGAGGGAACGGCCTCTCGGTGATATAGGCCTGTCAAGTGCCTAAAGGTAAGCGGTCATTTTCTTCTGGGCATAAAAACAAAACTCTACTGAGGGAGAGGCAACAAGCCCGGGACTCACGATGGCAGCGATCTTCCCGCTTTTCCTCAGCTGCTGCACGGCGAATGAGTGCAGCACCCCCTCCATGGGGGTGCCATTGACCATGACCACCCTGTCATTTTCTCTGCAAACAAAAAATAAAAGCGGGATGTGAAAAACTCCCGTTTAGTCACTGTCAGTTTTTTACGTAGGAACAAACTGAGGCAGCGAAGGGTGTGAAATACGGATTGAAGGGCTCCATGTCCGAGGACTCCCCAGGCAGGAACCCAGGAGTCATCAGCACACTTTCCACGGTGTCTCCTGAGAACAGCGGGGAGGGAAGAGCCCAAACCGCAGGGGCCCCCCAGGAACCCCGACAATGGTGAGGGCTGAGCACCACGGGCCTCCTGCACCGGCCTTCCTACCCCGGTGCACACGGTCTACACAGACCCTCAAGGAAGGTTCGTATCCACTTAAGCTCTGGACAGGAAGAAGTCAAGAACGTGCCTCAGAGTCACAAAGAAATTTTGTGGTCGCAGAACCCTCTTACCTTTATCTCACCCCAAAAATTATGGCAAAATTCTCCTCTCCTCTCCGAAGCACTACAAAATTCGATAGGACCCCGTGGAGACTTGGGATGCCAATAGATCCTACACTCTGGAGCTGTCTGTCTGGCCATGGCAGCCACGTGACTAACGTTCGCTTCTGCCCTGAGAATCGATGCTGAGGGGCTCGGAGATGCATTCTTTCTAACAGCATTCTCTCTTCAGACCAGGAAAAGGGTGGCAGTTGGAAAGGTTGTGTTTCCATGGAGTAAATTTTCCCAATTTCCACATCCCTCTTTCAAAGCAGACAAGCATTAAGCCAGAGTATCTTCATTAAATTAATGAACATAATTTAAAATAAGTAGAGTTGGGTACGCTTTGGCGGGGAAGGGGGGGGAGCAATGCCAATCTTCTATTCCATGTCCAGAAATGGTCCCTGAGCCCAGGAACACCAGCGGTGATAGTTAGAACGGCCTTCCTAAGGAACCACTGCTCTCCTTCCTCTGTTTGGATGCCCCCAAAGGACTGGTGTGCCATGGCCTTAATTCTCCTATAAATTCACACGTATGCATATAAAAGCACACGCATACATATATACATATACGTAAACATATGCTTTTTTAATATTCCTTTATAATGAACACCCCCCCACCCACACACACACAGTGTCTTGTTCGGGGGCCATGGGGGCCGGGGCGGGAAGGGAGGCCACTCACTGAAGCAGCCCGTCGGCGGGCCCGCCGGGAAGCACGTCCGAAATGACGATGGACGTCTCTCCATTTTCAAAGTGGGGGTTGTCTCTGCCTCCGGACACTGCAATGCCAAATCCTCTTTTGGAGTCCTGTTCATTGAAATGAAGAGAAAAAATTTAAAAACGAACACCCTTTCCACACGTGGCTTTCAAGATGTGCTACACGCACTGCATACAGGAAAGGGCGACCCCATCACCAGACCCGGCTCAGGAAGAGGGGGCTCAGGGGAACGAAATAAAGCGGCATCCTGGTCCGCTGGCAGGTGGATAAAGGGAAATCCCTTTTCTGAAAGAAACAGCCTCCCGAAGGCTGGGGAAGGTGGAGAGCACTGGCTGGCGTTGTTCCTCGAAGCTGGCAGGGGGTGGGAAGTGACACTCTCTGTCCAAGCAGGGGTGTGCTAGTTGAATAACCAATCCCACCTGTTCTCCATCCCAGCCTGAGTTGGGACAGCTTCAGGCACCACTGAATCCGTGCTGAAACTGTATTTTGTAAAGAATAAATTTCACTCCCAAGTTAGAGGAGCTGGTTGGGCCCATTTTAAATAGAGGGTGAAAAATAAGTGAACGGATCTTAAAGATAAAGTCTGAAGGTAAACTTAGATTTGAGGTCTTATGAGACAGCACAGCATTAAATTATTTTCCACATGCACATAACATGGGAATACAGACTCATTTCCTCCATGGACAAGAACGCTATCAGTGAGCCCAGATAATTCAGTTCCGTGTCCAGGAAAGCTAGACCTCCAGGTATTATCCGGATGATATGGGTGGATAGAACTATACCCCTAGAGCAGAGTTTGATTATGTAAAAATCTACTCAGAGAATAAAAAACTTCCCCTCAAGAAAAGTTCCCACCTGGGGCCACTATGGGGACAAACCATCCCCAACACAAAACAGGCCGGGCTGCCTACAGCTCTGGGTTTGCAGCCCCATCACGCGTGCCTGGTGTTACACAGAGGCAGCTCCTTCCTCTAGACCAGGCCTAAGATGTCTCTCACCTTTGCCAGGTTGAAGGGGAAAGTGAAATGCTGGTGGAAGGGCATGGAGAAGAGACAGAACTAAAAAATGAGGCCTAATGAGGGGAACCCCTCAACTGATGAAACCACGATACTGCCCCGGAAGTTTTGGCACCTGAACACTGATCGGTGTGTGTGTGTTTTCCCTGCCCGGATTAATTGAATACCTATTTACTCAGAAACCAAATTTCCGTTGAAGACAGAAGTTGCAGAAGGAAGGTTCCATTTAAGGAACTGACCATTCCCCTAAGAAGTGCCAGAGACTGGAGGGATTGAGAGCAGAATTCCTCAGGGCCCAGGAAAACCACAGCGATGCTGACTAAGGCGGCTTGATGGAATGAGACTTGGGGACCACGGCTGTAGCTCTAGTCCAGCTCAGCGGCACAGAAACCCCTCACCCACGGTCGGTGGCTACTCTCGCGTAGAGTGGGGCTAACGCTCGCAGGCCTCCCTGGAAGGCTGCTGTCAGAATAAAGAGGAACGGAGCTCACATTTCTCAAGCCCTGCATTGGAAGCTGTTTGCATTACCTCAATTAATCAAGAGGAGCAAAACCTCTGAAAGGACTTTTAAAACGAAGTCGTTTTAAAAACTTGTTCGCAGGGGTTGCTCCATTGGGTGAGCATGTCCCATGCACCAAAAGGTTGCTGGTTTGACTCTGGGTCAGAGCACATGCCTGGGTGGAGAGCTCAATTCCCAGCAGGGGGCTTGCAAGAGGCAGCCGGCCAGTGTTCCTTTCTCCCTCCCTCCCTCCCTTCCTGTATCTAAAAGCAATAAAAAATATTTAAATTTTTAAAAAATTAAATATAGTGACATATATTACTTCTATCTTCAATACCACTGGATAAGGGGATTTTTTTTTTTTTTACATCTAATTAACTCAACACCACTTAATACAATAAGGAGAAAGGCGAACTGCCCATGTCTCCTGATGGCTGCACCAACGTTTTAAATTCAGTTTAGACTTCACATGCACAGAACGAGTTAAAAGTTTTCTATATATTGCCATCAAAGTTATGAGAGTTTCAGAGGCTACCTCAATGTCCTTAAACAGTGCAGGTTATTTCCATTCCTCCCCTCTTCTGCTCTATTTTTTCCCATAACCTGTTCTTATCTGGAAGTAGATAAATGCACTCAATAGCCTCTAGAATCTTCTATGTTATGCAGACTTTAACCAAAACAATATACTAGCGTGCAAATCTTTGTTGATGCGGTCATTATTGCCAGCTATTCCCTCCAACGCACTACCCACCTGAAAACACTGTGTTTAGGGCAAAACAAGCAAGGCCCACGGTCTGTAAACACGAGAACATGACCTGTGTGTGGCGCGTGTGGCACTCACCTTCTGCAGGGTCACCGTGTACTGCTCCCAGACCACTTCCTCCATCCCGGGGGCCTGCGGAAAACAAGCAAAACCGATTTGGTTAAAACCGCAAACATTTCCACGCTGGAAATGAAAGCATAATCCAAAATAGCTCCATATAAAGAAGTTCAACTTAGACTCTGAATACACCAAAAGTTGGTGTGCGTGTAGGAACTTTACGCTGTCTATTTGCAAACACTCTCCTGCAATGAAATGGCATTCTTTCACAATCCTGGAAAATTACCGAAATACACAGTGAGATATATGCTCTAAAAAAGAATAAAATAATTCTATGCGGAGCCTTCTTATGATCACCACTCCAAACACTGTCACCAAAGAATACCTTAAAAAGAGAATTAGCCTGGCCAGTGTGGCTCGGCAGCGGAGTGATAACCCAGGAACCAAGAGGTCCTCGGTTCAATTCCTGGTCAGGGCACATGCTTTGGTTGCAGGCTTGATCCCCAGTAGAGGACATGCAAGAGGCAGACAATCAATGTTTCTTTATCCCTCTCCCTCTAAAAAAATCAATGAAAACGTGTTTTAAAAAGAGAGAGAGAGAGAGATATTTAGATAGTTCCAAGCGGCTATCTTTCATTCTTTTGCTTTAAAAAAAAAAAAAAAAAAAGTTGTTATTGATTTCACATAGGGAGAAATAGAAACATCAATGATGAGAGGGAATCATTAATTGGCTGCCTCCTGCACGCCCCCTACTGGGGATTGAGCCCGCAATCCAAACATGTGCCCTTGACGGAATCGAACCTGGGACCCTTCAGTCTGCAGGCTGACACTCTATCCACTGAGCCAAACCAGCCAAGGCTTGCTATTCTTTTTAACCAGTCTCTGCTCTTCCTATCAAAGGCAATCTCCCCAGCAAGTGTTTTGCATTTTTATATCTAAAGGAATCCACAGTCTTATCACAAAAAGGGTTCAGTTGTGTAGTCTGTGAAATCCCTTTTTTCCATCAATATTGCTGGATGTGAAAAATGAAAATGCCTGGCTAGACAGACAACTGGGGCTTCAGGTTGTAACAACAGTCCAAAATAGATGTCTAGAAAAACCAGAGAATAATGGGCATCATTTAAAAAAAAATAATAATAATGCATCAGTACAGACTGCCTTAAAGGGAAATCCTTAAAGGCTAGAAATGCCAAGACTGCTCAAACCTGGAGAGAGAAGCCAGACCTGAAACAGGAATTTACAGGAGCTACTGGGAAGAGAGATAAATGGGAGGATCCAAACTGGATGGAGATCAGATCAAAGTAGATGCATGAGGGGGACAAACCCAGGCAGAAGGAGATGGCATGGACACATCTCATCCTTAGTGCTGAGTAGAATGGAAATAACTAAAAACATCTTGCTGGAGAATTCCTATCAACAGACCTGTACTCACCAGGTTTGGGACTGAAATTCATATTATGAATATGAGCACACACGACCCAAACACTCCGGCCCAGAGTGGTTCTGCTCTGCTAGGACCCAGGTACCCAGAGGCAGATGCCAATTCTCTCCAAGGAACTCACTCAAGCACAGGCTTCCGAGAATGCCCGAGCTACCATCTGAGGAACGAGAGTTCACAATCTAAACACACACATCAAATAAGTTGCATGACTGAGAGTTAAAAGAAACCAAAACCTGCAGAATCAAATGTGGTCAATATTGAAAATATCAGTCACAGACCACAAAAAGTATGTTAAAAATGCACCATGTCTACCATAGGAAATTAAAAGGAGATACTGAAAGTATAATGAAAAAAAAGAAAAAAGAAAGAAAGACCATCAAGAATGACTAAAAGCAAACCTGAAAGAAAAAAAAAAGCAAAATTTGTAGAAATGAAAAAATGTGATGATTGAAATTAGATAAAGAATGGATTAAACCACATACTACAGCCCTAACCAGTTTGGCTGAGTGGATAGAGTGTCGGTCTGCGGACTGAAGGGTCCCAGAGGTTTGATTCCGGTCAAGGCAGCTGATCAATGTTTCTCTTTCATCAATGTTTCTAACTCTCTATTCCTCTCCTTTCCTCTCTGGAAAAAAAAAAAAGTCAATAAAATACATATTTTTAAAAAAACACACACATAGTACACACAGGTGAAGACACTTATCAATGAATTGAAAGACAGATGTGAAGAAATTAAACAGATGCAGCACAAAGCATTTCAAAAGTGAAACATAGACAAGAGTGACAAAGGATCACAGTACATCTAATTACATATTCTGAAAGACGTGATAAGAGTGGAGGAGAGATGCAATATCGGAAGAGATAATGGCTCTTCCAGACTTGAGGATGTTTCAGGTTCAGGAAGCCCAGTGCATGGCAAGGAGGGCAGGCTTTTAAAAAGAAAAGAGCCCTTACTGGTGTGGCTCAATTGGTTAAAGCATCGTCCCAGGCACTGAAAGGTTGCCAGTTCCATTCCTGGTCCACTAGGGGGAGTGCAGGAGGCAGCCACTTACTTGTTAAGCTCTCACATGTTTCTCCCTCTCTCTCCCTCTAAAAAAAAAAATCAATTAAAAAAAAAAAAGAAAAACACTTTCAAACACATGGAACTATCAGGTCAGAAAAAGATACAGTGGCTTGAGAGCAGCTAGACAGTAGATTACTACTAAAACAATCAGAATGACAGCCAACTTCTAAAGAGCAGGAATAAAAGCCTGAAGTCAAGTACAATTAAGATCTAAGATCTTTAAAACAGAATCTGTGATGAAATATTTTGTGATTTTTTTAAAACCAAAAAAACTACTCATAGCTGGTTTGGCTCAGAAAAAAACTAAAACTAACCAATACCACAGCAACCATCCCCCTAGGATTAAGCAATGCTATGGGGTTGAGTGTCCAAAAAGAGAGTGATATTTCGGTTAAATGAACCGACCCAGTGAAATGCCCAGGCACTGAAAAGAATTCATGATGACTACGTTTTCAATTAAAGAGAACTTTTCATTTTCTGGTCTGTCCACTGTGGGTGGAAGCAGTGGGAATATAAATTAGCACAGACCTTCCAGGGGGCAAACTACCAATGCCCGTACCACAATGTAACATCTGCATGTCTCTTGGCCAACCAATGCCACTTCCAGGAGTTTACTCTACAGAAATATTTGCACAAGCGCACAAATACATATAAACTTGTTTATATCTCCTTATATTTTTTAAACAGATGATCATAAAATATCCAACAATAGGAAGCAGGTACCTATGTGTTTACATAGAGCTCTATATTTAAATGTTTACTGTGGGGATCAAGACACAAAACATTTGTGTTTCCATTCCTGTTTTCATATAGATGCTCCTAGGGAAAAGACTAGAAGAATAAATACCAAAAAAATGTTAAACTTCCCCCTAAGAGCTATGGGATAATAGAAAATATTTTTATATGAGCACATTGCTTTTCGAATACATTTTTATTTTAAAATAAAAACAGCACACTCCCTTTTCACAGTTTTAGATTTACATATTTTTTTTATTGTTTAGGCAAATCAATGAATTGCTATAGATTTTTTTTAATGTTGCCCAAGTAGAATAAGCCTGGATTTTGAAATTTACTGTTCTTCTATAATGAGATTATACTGTCTTGATTTCTGTGCTGCCTGCAGGGGTGACTTAAATTAGATCTGCCCCAGATCTACTGGATGGAGGGAGTGGTTAATCATGTAAAGAGGAGGTGGTAGAGTGAGGGGAAAAAAAAAATTAGATTTGCCAGAGAGCGGGTTAATCCCCTACCACTACCAGCAGGACTAAGTCAAATTCTTAACCAGACCTTACCAGGTGCCCAAAGGTCTCACCAGCTTTGATATGACTCTCAGCAAACTGCAAGGGTCTTCTTATTCAGGGCTAAGAAACTGTGGCATATCACATTCACTACTTAAACACATAATTAAAAGAATATATGTTCTGTTAAACTAAATGGTAAACTTAAAATCTTAAAAGGTAAGAGAATTGAAGAAAAACAAATTTTGATACCTCCTTTGAGCATTAAAAATATACAGTAACTATGCGTATGTATTTATTTAGTCCACAGAGCTGTGACCTTTTTTGCAAAGGTCTCAGAGGAAACCCTTCATGCCTTGAGAGCCTTCCTTCCTTCATTCCCTCATTCACTCGTTCATTGGAAAATATTTATTAGCAACCCCTAACGCACCAAACAGGTGGTTCCGGAACCTGAAATACATTGATGAATAAAACAGCCAAAGCCCATGTGGAGTTTACCAACCAAGGTGTGCCCCAAAAGCAATTCACTGTCTCCCCTGCCTCTTCTCTACACAAGATTACCTTTTCAGAAGCACACAGCGCCCCCCATAATCACACCTATCCCTCGGAATGCCAGCTCTGCATGCATCCCTGAGGGCAGGCTGCCAGCGTGCAGCAGTGTAGCTGAGAGCTGATGCCTTTCACATGGAACCCCGGGCCTTGGGTGCTCCCCACCCTGTGCTGAGCTGTGCACAGATCAGAGGACCTCCATCAACATTCAGAATGTCTGTGTGAATGCCGGGGGGGGGGGGGGGGGGGGGGGGGGGGCGGGGGGCGGGGGGGAGCAGCTGTTTAGCATTAGGGCACTTTGCATGCAGGGCTATAGGGAGAGCGCGCATGTGTCAAAGATAAAGATAATCCATGACGCAGTAATTGTATGAATGTGTGCACAAGGGTACACAAGAGGGTATTCTTAGCAGCAATGCCTTCACTAGCCAGCTCCTAGAAACAAGCCCAATATCAACCAAAAGCAGACAAGACATAAAAATCATGATCTACTATTAAAATGCAATGTTATACAGCGACGAAGACACACTAGAGCCACACATACTACAATACATGCATCTCACACATACCGCTGAGTGAGAAACATCCTAGAAGAATTCATAGAGTGTGAGATCGTTGTTCCCAATAATGTGAACAGACTTTACTGAACTGAACTTGTAAGAATTTGGCTAAGACTGTAAATGTTAGGTGATGCAGATTGTATCACAACAAGGGGGGAAGGGGGAAGCCAACGAACTAATCTCTTGTGTAGGGATATCTGTGAGTACGGATGTGTGTAGGGAACGAG